AATTATAGATTTGTGACACCTTATTAGATTAAAATTAGAAAATTTAAAGTTAAATTAACCTGATTTGAAATAAATATTACTTACTTACTAAAAAACCAGCATTTCTTAACGATGAGTTCCTCTTTCTTTGATCTTTATTGATTTATTGAGAAGCTCTTAAGGTGATGACAGCTCTTATGGATGACCAGAAATTACATATCTATGAAAACTAAATGAACACATTTTTTTTTTTAGTTTTTAAATACCTAATAATTTTTACAAATTAACATATTTTGAGTAATTATTTAATATTTTATTGACTTTTAGTTAGGTTTTTAAGAAACTTCATAAAGCTTCATTTGGATTTTATCTCTAGGTTCATAAGTTCACATAAGTTCACCTTAAACAAAAAAAATAATTAATTGAAATATGACCCAAACTAAAATAAATATATTAAATTAAAATATTTAGTGAAATAGCAATTAAGAAAGGTCAAACTTTTTTTGATATTTTGAAGGGATGGTTTGCAAAGACGTTAATGATGAAACAGAGCTGAATTAAAAGTGAAATAATTGCAGACGACACTTAAATCACGTGACATTTTTAAGGATTATGTCATATATAGATTCCCATGGGTAGAAATTAGGAACGTTTTTTTTTTTTTACTAAAAATTATTTTTAAAATATTCAGGCTGTTATGAGCTTTTCAAATTTTGATTTGTAAATTTTGCTTTTCACTTAATGATATCACCAAATCGCATTCTTGAAAGCAATGAAAAATTTTAAACGATTTTTGATAGGTAACTCCATGAGATCACTAAAAAAAGAGGATAGCATGATGAGAAAGATGCCAAACTTGACGAAAACAAAATTTTATCGTCTAAATGCTTATGTTGTTATTAAGAGGAAAGACCAAAGTTTTTTTTAATTATTTTTTAAAATTCTTTTCTTTTTAGAACATTCTAAATTTTGATTAAAAAAACCTTGTTTCTCTTTGTATCACCAGAACTAGTAAAATAACATATACAATTTTTAGCATGTTTTTTTTTGTATGACACACATTAATTTGGAAAATCTTGCAAAAATAAAAATAATTGTTGGATGTTAATGAAACTTTCAGAAACTATTCACAGATGATCGAAATTATTATGTGTTCTTTTTTTTATTAGTCATGGCAGAAATATTTTTTATATTTATTACCCCCCCCCCACAACTAATTTTATGAAAACACTAGAATTTCGATCACATCATGTTTAGTGATTACAATAGTTAAAAGCACAAGGCTTTAAGGAATGCAAATCATGTTTTTATTGTTTTTAATTGGATCCCACCTTACCTGAACATCAGCTCTGAATATTAACATATAAAACTCAATAAAACAAAGATATTATTTAATTTGAAATGCTTTTTATTTGCTTTCAGTTGTTTTTATGAATATGGACAATATTTTTTGAAAACAAAAATTTTTTTGGATGAAAAATGAATTTTTAAAACAATTATTTGTTATTTCTTTAATTATAATAGATTTTTACATTTAAGTTGTTAAAATATTATACAATTAGTTAAAAGCCGCATCGGGTTTCCTAAGTGTCCTCATGAGATATATCTTTTTTACTTTGTTGTAAACTGCATCATTAGGACTAATCAGAAGAAGATCCGCAGTAATTAAAAAATGTAATCTTGTGTTTATAATCGGGCTGTAATTATAAAGTACAGAAGACCACCCAGAATACAATTAATTTGCGTTATTTGAGTTAAGCATTGTTCTCCACTGTTAAGGTTTTTACTTTTGTGAAAAATGTGTGGAGAAGTTAATTTGTTTTTTCAATTTCAACTGAGAAGGGTACTTACAAGTATCAGTATCATCTTATGAAATTTATATGATCAGTCAGTTATGACATTTTTCCATAATTGAAATATCAAAATTAATAATAAAATGAATGGAAATACAAATAACACAGTAATGTAATAAATGTACATAAAATTATAGTATTTTATGTACACTTCTGATAAAATTCCATAAGAAAGGTACCTATAAATTAATTAGATACCTTTACCTTTATTAAGGTAAGGACACTTAAAGTGTCCTTACCTTTAACAAAAGCAATTAAAAGCTTTTTGTAATTAAATAATGTCATAGTTTTATAGCATTTTTTTATTTTACAATTCATAGTTTCAATGAAACGGGTAACTGCTTTACAAAAAAAAAAAAGTATTTACTTTCTTCAAAGAGTCCCGTTTTTCACTAATACCCCGCCGCTTAAAAAATTATGTAAGTGGGTGGTAAACATATGTATATAAAAAAAAAAAAAAAATTTTTGGTAAAATTTTCTAAGAAGAAAAAAAAAAATTCATTCATTTCTGAATATGTCCTGAAAGTTTCATAAAAATCCAACAATCATTTGAATTTTGCAAGAACTTCCAAATCAATGCGTTTTTCCTCGGAAAAAGCGCAAAATAAAACCAACCTTTTTTTCTAGTTCGCTGCTGATGTAAAAAAAAAAAAAAATTGACCAAAATTCCGAACGTGCAGGAAATGAGTAGTAAAAAAAACAAAAAAAACAAACTTTGGTATTTCCCCTTTAATAATAAACATTTTGATGACAAAACTTTGTTTTTATTTTTTATTGAGTGAGTTTGGGGCCTTTTTTAATCATGCTATGCAGATGCTGCTTTTTTTTACGCGACCTATTTATTTCAAATCAGATTATCATTAATTTAACTTTAAATTTTCTAATTTTACTCAACGTGTCAGATATATATTTTGGAAGAGTTTTAAAATCAGTAAATTTGTTTGTTTACAAATTTCTTAAAATTAAGAAAATGGCCGCTTTTAAGAAAATTTTAAGAAATCGAAATTAAGTTTGACATTCCAACCCATAATTTCTATCTGAAATAAATACACCAGAATATTTTACTTACTGAAAATAATAAATTTAATCCTTTAGCTTTCAATTAAAGCTAAAATGAAATCTTTAAGAATGCTTTTCCATTTTTAAAAATTAATTTTTAAACCTTAGGTATCGAAAATTTATGTCGAAAAAGTGGAGGTACCAAGAAGGGCATTTATAATCAATTTTTCAGCGAATTAGTGGAGGTACTGAGGAGCACCGAATTCGGTATTTGTTAAAAATTGATAAAAGCATTAAACACACACAAGGTTATTGTAGAAGTGAGAAGTGTGAATGATTAATTCACAAATAATCTTAAAAAAAAAAAAAAAAAAAAATTTACACACAGCGTTTGTAAAATGCACAACCGGGATAAAAAAAAAAAGTCAAATCTTCACTTTTTAGTTTACTTCAAAATTTAATAGCGGTAAAAATTGTGTTTTTAAATATCCGTAACAAAAATATAGAGTTGTAGTTCAAGCTTGGGAAATTATTTCAGTAATGTGCGTGTTTTCATATTACAACAACAAGAAACGTTTAATTAGGTGGAAGAAATTTGTTTTGTGAGGAAGCAAGTCTCTGGGACATCAACAATAGGGGCCATTCAAATTTATCAAGAAGCACGTGTATCGATAGAAAATTTGTTGGAAACAAAACAATGCATAATGTATTAAAAGTTTTCATATTTACAATTTTTAAAGATCGGGGACATTCAAAAAGTTTTGGCATAAAAGAGGATGATAAATTTCTTGGAATGTTTACAGTACACTTAACCCGGATGTTCAATAGTAGTTGGCGAAAAGAAAGAAAGAAAAAAATGAAGTTTTATTTATTTTATCAGAAAAAAAACAAAAACAATAATAAACATTTAAGATTTATCACGATTTAATGATATTAGTTAATTATTAATGAGATTTAGTTAGGGTTGTTTTCTTAAGTTTTATTATAGCACACGTGCTGTAGTAGTATCAAAAACCCTTTTCCGGAAAGCAAAAAACAAAACAGGAAATATCTTCGTCGTTAATTTTAAAAAAGGTATTTTTCATTTGTTTCTGAAGCATGTAAAATAGAATATATTTGTTTTTTTTCTTTTTGAAAAAGATGGTTCAGTATTTAACAGTTTGGAATGTGACTGACTGTACAAAAATTCTTTATCTTAATTCTTTAAATAGATAACAAATCATAAAGGCTAACAAAAAGAAAAACAAAACATTCGTCATCATCAATTCAATACATCTTTCGAGACTTCAAAAACCATCAGCAATACAATCTTGTTTGAAATAAACACTAAAATATTTCGATTAAGATTTGCCGAAAAAAAAACAAAAACAAAAACAAATAATGAATATTTTATGGTTTTAATTTTTTAAAAAGGAAGAAAAAATATGAAAGAATCAATCGATAATGCTTTTTTTATCAAACAAGATAATCGCGGCCGCTGTAGTAAAAATTTGGTTCAAGTTTCCTAAGAACTACGAGCTTCGATATACTTGCTTCGTTTTCAAGAATAACATTTCGTGCTTATAGTAGCAAACATAAAAATGTGTACAATTAACACTATTCAGTTTTTTGACTTAGGTGGTAGCAGCAGGCAATCCTAACAAGTCAGTGGTCACATAGTCGGGGGTCAGTAGCGATCATCCCTGAAGACTTAGTATTTTTAAGTAATAAGATACATTTTAGATTTGATTCGAACTATGTTAAATATGACTAATTAAACCAATTTATTTTTTGTAAAATGTTAAATGAATACAGAATAACCATAATCAGAATAACTATCAGACGTAACTTAGAACTGACACTAAGTGGCAAGTGCCTACCTTTTCGAACGGGACTTATTGCAAATAAGTATTTAGTATACAATACATATACGTGAAATATATAATAACCTCAGATATTAAACGGGATTTGTATATTATTTCAAGTTATTTTTGCATAAACTACAAATTCAACTGAAATAATGTCTCAATATTTTTAGAAAGCACACTACTAGTACTAACTCAATAGTTATGTCGACCTTATACAAGTTACATTAATAAAAAAAAGCAACAGGCGACTTATTTTACACTTTAAAACACCAACGACACACAATGCATGAAATAAATAAATTCATACAATTATTCTACATACACATTCCGATAGTCTCTCCCGTGTTTCAGTGTCTTTAATATCCTCAGATACTTCTTCGCCGCTTTCGTCTTCGGATAGCCTCCTTCGTCTACGTCTTTCCGCCATTTTAGCTGACGATTTTTGCTCAAACCTCGACAGTTTGTTTAAATCACGCGAGAGTTACATTTCACTATTTCAACCTATTAGCGTGGTTATTTGATCAAGGCCATTTCTATCAGGGCAAGAAAGGTGCCTTTTAAGGGAAGAATTGATATCTACTAGTCAGTTTTGATCAAGAGTCTTTCCTTATTCAAATTTCAACATTAATTCTTGATGATTGTCAGTTATTTTTGTGAAAATGCTAGTTATAGTATCAGCTATTGCTATCATTGTAAAATTACTGTTGTCTCAATGATACACTGTCCTTTAAAAAATTGTCCCATCATCATTTAAATTTTAAAATGTTTTGTCTCTAGCATCTACAACAGTGTAGACGAGTGAGCACTTGGACAAAACTCTTCCATAACTATTATTCAGACAATAATAGATGTAAAAACATTTAACACCAATTGTCAGGTGGGGTCCAACATATAACCATAAAAAAAATTTTTACCTTAAAAATATTAATTTAAAATAAATAATAATTCTTCCAGTATTATGCTTTTATAGTTTTTTAAAACTATAAATGTATATAATTTTTTTAAATTATATAAATTTAGCATTATACAAAACAAAAGAGGCATTTCTTTACACTTGTACTCTGTCAAAATTCTAGGTTTTTAAATTAAATGGAAATACTTGTTTTAACATCCACAGCTCATAAAAACAGACCTTAATTTTGTCTGTCCCTGCGCTCACACTTCCAGAATATTGTCCAAAAATACTAGGGTCATAAAACATCTTTTCTAGCCAATCAGAAAAATCCTACACAGTTTTCATAGCAGCCGTTTCTGAGTCATTCAGACAACACTGAATGGACCACAGGTAAACTAAACCATTAGCAGTGAATCCAAGGTGCTTTCACCAACAGCAATGCATTCATCCAGTGACAAATCCAGCAGTCTCAGTCTTTCATGACTAATATACAATATCTTGAAATGAGCAATTGATAGAACCTTGTAAATCGCAGAAATAAAAATTCTTTAAACACAACTTATCTCCATTTGTTTTTTGTCACTTCCACTTTTTTCTTGTTAATGTTAAGGCCACTGTTACACACTTATCTGATTTTGATAACTGGCATACACAGTGAAGTGTAAATGTAAGAAAATAGTACTGCTATTGGCCTGCTGATGGCAATGCCAGTGGGCCTCTAGCGGTCTGCTAGTGGTAACATTGCTGAGACAAACATGCTGGCAACCAACAGTGGACCACCAGCAATAAATGCTAATGGCATGTCACCCAGTGACAGATTAGTGGCTTGTGTGTAGGGTGGGTGGCATGCTACTAGCATTTACCACTGGTGGCTCACTGTCGGGTTGCCAGCATGTTCATGTTGGCAATGTTAACACTGGCGAACTGCTAGAAATCCACTGGTGGCTGCCACCAGAGGACAGTTGGTGTTGGCAGTGGCAGATTGGTAACTTGAATGTAGGAAGAGGAAATAATGATTAAAATGGAGATATTTGTGAAATGGTGTTATTTATAAAAAAAAGGTTTAATTATCTGTCAAGTATATCATTTTTTATTATATTGACTTTTACTTATTTATGGGTAGATAAACTTCTATAACAATTAAATTTAGAATGTTAAAAAGTAAATCATTTTGTCCATTTCAAAATTTATTATTAAGATAGATATTTATTAACCATGGAATAATTCTGTAGAAAGAATGGAAATAGATTCTGATGTATCAATCTTCTAAGTAGGAAGGGTTTTGGTATCTTGAAACTTTTGGTATTTGCATAGGTTTGAAGACTGACCATTGACATGGGTCGGAAATATACAACTAAATCAGCCACTAAGCAATTTGCATGTGTATGTTCATACACATGTAATCATAATCATCATTGTTAATTAAAATAATAATTATACATGCTAAATAAGTTATTTTAAAAATATTATTTAACTATTTTTGAATTCCTAAGAATAAAAATTTTAAAAATGTTACTATTTCTGCTGTATCTTAGAAAATAAGATGCAAGTTAATTAAGCAGTACATGTTTAAAAGTTTCTACTTTACACATTGTTTTTTAAAGCAAGCATTAATCTCCTGCAGATTTTTCTTAATATCAGTAACACAACTGTTATATTGGGTACATCTCTCTGTAGTAACAGTTTTAGCACAATTCTCCAAATTACGTTAATAAAACAGGTTCACTGAGTAATGCTGTCTTGTTCACCAGTTGCTTTCCTTTTATGCTTGTCCTATCTCAGTTGCATATGATACTACACCTCCCTGAATCGAAGAGGTTGTATACCCTTGTTTTTTTCTTCTACTACTTCTGATTATTCTCGTACTGTGCTTTTGTCTTCCTTGTCTTCTTTTTAATGGTGATCTTGGTCATCATTTTCTTCTTCACTCTTGTCCGGCTTTTCATTTTCACTTTCTTCCATTTCCTGCTCCCTTCCACTTTTGTGACTTTCTGTCTCTTCTTGTTCTTCCATTTCCACATTATCCAGTTTGTTTCTGCTTCTAAACTGATCCACATATGCTAGTATATTTTGTCTCTTTTTTCCAATATAGCTTTTTTGTGTCCTTTTTGCATCAGGAAATTTGATTCTTCTGGATCAGCCTCATTATTCTTTCTATACCATACCTTTTCTTTTGTTGAAAAGGACATAGTTATGGGGGCTTTAATTTGCCTTCCCATTAATGCTGATGGGTTTAGTTTTCTTCCCACATGTGGAATGGCTTTGTAAGTGAGGAGCATTTTCAGTAATATGCTTTCATTAAGTGGTGAGAATGTTTTAACCTCATTTTTATCATTTACACCATTCTTTTCGCAATGCCATTAGATTGTGGGTGATACGGTGGTGTCTTGTATGGGATGCATCTAATCTGTTTTAACCATGCACATAAGTTCTCATCACAAAATACGGGTGCATTGTCAGTGAGTAATGTCTGGGGTACTCCATTCTTTGAGAATATAGTTCTTAGTACTTGATTGTAGTGGCTTTTCTGTCTTTTATTTTGACAACCTCTGGCCATCCTGAATACGAGTCCACTAATACTAAAAACAATCCCCTATCTTTGATATGTGCATGATCCATGTGGACCCTAACCTATGGCTCTGCTTCCTTCGGCCATGAGTGAATTTTTCTTTACATGAAATTTTTATTTCCACACATTTTGGGCATCTTGTAATGTATTCCTCTACATCTTTTGAATACCCTGGCCACCAAGCTTGTAACTTTAGTCTTTTTTGTGTTGCTGTTATGCCACAATGCATGTCATTATGTATTCCTTTTAATATGTCCCTTCTCAGTATTTGTGGAGCTACAATTATATCCCAATTGAATATTATGCCATTTTATATAGTTAGTTTGTGCTTCATTTCTTTAAAGGGTCACTCTACCATTGAACAATTGCTCTATATATTATTTTTTATTCTCTCTACTATTCTGCTTAATATTGGGTTTTACTTTGTTTCTATTTTGAGTCTATTTAGAGGAAGAACATCCATTTCTACCCAGTGTATTATTTTGTCTTCAGCATTTTCCTGTTTTTCTTCTGTTTCATTCTTGAGCTGTAATCTTGATAAGGCATTTACGTGAGGGATAGTGTTCCCTTTTATGTATACTATGTCAAAATCAAATACCATGATTTTTATTGCCCATTTTAAAATCCTTGATGATGTTACATTTGGCAATTCTTTTCTTGGGTTAAATATGAATTCCAATGGTTTGTGGTCCAATTTTAATAAGAATTTTTTCCTATCAAAAAGTTTCCATGCCCTTTCCATGCTCCATACAATCGCTACTGCTTTTTTTTGTTCAATATTTGAGTGGTTAATCTTGGCTGACATTAACTTTCTTGATATGTACAAGATTGGGTGTTCTTCTTGCAATATAATAGCAGCAATCACCTTTTCACTCATGCCTGTGGTTAACATTACTTCTTTTTGTGGATCAAAATCTTTTACTATTGGTTTGTTCCTCAGTATCTTCTTTAGTGTTTCAAAAGCACTAGTTTGCTTTTGTGTCCATTTAAATTTATTATTTTTTTTGCATAATTCTGTAAATGGCTCTATTATGTCACTATATCTTGGTATGTACTTATTAAAATTTATTAGCTCCAAAAAGGATTCTAATTCCTTTTTATTTGTGGAGGAGCTATTTCTGTTATTTTCTTTGTTAATCTATCATTAGGTGATATGCCTTCTTTCAATATTTGCAGTCAAAATTACATTTGTCTTTGTTTACAGTCATGCCTGCCTTTCTCAATCTCACTAAAATTTGCTCTGTTTTATATTTCAATTCTTCTTTAGTTCTTGCCTCTACACATATATCGTCCTGGTATATTATCATATTTCTTGTTTTTCTTAATAAGACTCTCTCAATTGCTTTCTGAAAAATATGACTCAAAGTCTTTACCCCAAATGGTAGATGAGTCCACCTTAATAAGCTTATAGGGGTGTTTATCATGGTGACTTCTTTGAATTTCTCATTAATTTCTATTTGGTTGTATGCTGCCTTGAGATCAATTTTTGCAAAGTGTTCCATTTTTGCTAACTCGTGGCTCACAGTTTCAATATTTGGCAAAGGAAAAGAGTCTGAACATATAGTGATTTACCCCTATCTTGTAATCACTACAAAGCTTTAAATTTCTGTCAGGTTTCTTTATCGCTAGTATTGGTGATGCCCAATTGCTACCACCTTGAGTTATTCTTTCTAGTATCCCCTTGTTATATCATTTTGTTTAACTTGGCCACTACCAAAGGTAGGATATGAATTGGAACTCTTCTTGATTCAATATATTTTGGGTGATAATTTTCTTTTAGTTAAATACTTGCTTTATAGCCTTTCAATAATCCTATTTCATTTTCTTGTGCCTCCAAAGAATTGATTAACTTTACTGTATCTACTTTTAATACATCAATTCCTAGTAATCCATGATCTTTTTCGCATTCTACAGCTGTAATGGGAATTACTTCAAAATACTTATCAGTTTCAAAATTGCCTTG